GCTTCTTGTTACTACTAGTAAGGCACCTGTTCCTAGTAGCGTGGCACATGTTCCTAGTAGTAAGTCGTGGGTCCCTACATTTAAAGCGCTTGAAGCCTGAGGGAGGCAAAACCCAAAAAAGAAACAATCGACACTGATTCACGAAGATGCGCAGCATCAGATGGGTTTGCTTGGGGTCGCTCAAAAGGGTTTCCCACCGACCCATAAACGTTCAATGAATGACATGCTCAGGTCTAGTGCCCACCTTCAGCACAGCCTCCCATAGCTGGGTCATGATCTGCGGCTTTCGCATGGAGGCGTAGTAGAAGCCGGTGTTTCCTCCCACTGCTTTGGGCCAAACACGTCTTACCACGACGCGTCCCTGTCTGGGAACGGCGAAGGACGTTTCGCCTTTGTTTCCTTCTCAAAAGGAGAAGGGATGGGACTTGGTGGAGCTTTGCAGATCCATCTTGGTTCGGAGAAAAGAAGAGAGAGAGAGAGAGAGAGACAGAGAGCGAGCGAGAGCGGGTCCCAAATCTAATTGAAAGTTCTGGGGAGGGTGCTGCGTCGACACATTCAAAGCCACAGCAACGAGGAGGGTGACTCAACTCCCTCAACCTCTTCCCTATCTGTGACAGCGACCTCTGAAAACCACTCGTGTGGCCCCGTGCGTCAGGCCCTTGCGCTCCCGGTTCGTTTCTCCCGGGTATGGACATTAGGTGCTCTGAAAACCTTCCGTCACTTCGGCACCCAGCGCCCCTGCCTTCATTCACCTCGGCACCTGGCTCGTAATGCCGGGGCCCAGGCCAGTTCAGCTGATAGATGTAGTCGTACCTGTCCGACCGAACTCCGGAATCCCATTCAGCCCTTAGGAGGGTGAGTAGCCGGGAGTAGAATCGGCCTGGGGCAATGGGTGCGCTTAACTGCTTGCTAGTTGCAGCACCATGAAAACTGGCCTGGAAAATGCCCGTCACCAAACATGTGTCAGGCCAGACCACCGATGCTTGTATAGTATATTTTTTGTATATGCATTGGGCGTTGGGACAAAACAGCATCAAGAATCGATGAAGGGCACCATCAACTCATGGGTTCAGGAACACGGTCAAAACAAAAGGAGTCAAAACTCAGCGTTGATTGTTCTCCAAAGCACACCGGAATTGTTGAATTTCTCAAAACATCCCCAAACGATGTGGGTGTAAAGGAAAGTAATCCAGTGACTTTTCCAACCTCTTAACACAGCCGCACCAGGCTCAAGCAAGCAAATGAAAGTGAACCGTCGGGCCATGTTTTTTTATTTAAGGCGCGCAAGCGGTGCAAAACAAGGTAAACATGGCTGAAGGGCCATCGAGAGGCAATGGCCCGGAAGGATCTCACAGTCAGTTGGGACAAACGATGGCATCGTCACGCATGGTCTTTTCACTGGTACTGTTTCTTTGGCAAATTGGTAATGGGCTGGTCTTGGTCGTTGGGCGTGGGGTTGTCTCTCATGATAGCGTCAAACAGTGAGCGAGCGTCCACTGCATGCAATGCAGTGAGCTGTCGTCCACAACAGTGGGCGCATTCATCCACCATGATCTCGGAGATGAACCTGTTGACATAGTTGGCACGGTCTGCAGCTTCGTCTGCTGCGCATGCTTCAGCAGCTCATGTCGAACGACATACTGGAGGTGACCTGGCTGAGCGCCAGTCTACCAAGCCAAAGGGCGCAGGCCTTGAAATCACTGAAGGCTCTGCGACTCCGATGAGAGCTCCAATTTGGCTGCCGCTCTTTCGGGCGTTAGTAGGCCAGGACAACGCAATGCTTGTTGGGACGAAGATGCCATTCGTAATGGCGCTCTTCATGTAGGCCACAGCCTCGTGGAGGATCTTGGTCGGGGGCGTCTGTTATATCTTAATGCGCGGTTAAGGACGCGGTAACCGCCAGCTCAAGGCGCGCCTGTGTTGACGCCCAATGAAAACATCCGTCGACGCTCCTCTGCTCCTTTCTCTCCTGTTCAAGACGTCCTCGAGGAAGTGAACCGGCGTCCAATGCTTCAGTGAACTTTTACATCTGCATCTCACAGGCCACTGTGAATTCTTTTCCTTTGAACGTAGCAGGGACTCCTGTCTCAAGTGTCTGGACGGCACCCCACTGGAACAGGTTGGGGGTTTCCTTACACTTGTTGTCGGACCTAGCACTCGACGTAGATGATGAGGATGGAGACTGTCTGGTGGTCAAGAAAGGTGGGCGGTGTAGCCAACCTTTGTCAGACGAGCATGGATCTTTTTGGAGTCCTGTGAGATGGGCATTCGCAAGGCCTATAGACGTTGCCTCGGACACGGTGCGCCTTAGCAGTCCGTGTGTTTGCCAGTGTGGTGAACACAGGTCCGCTCCTCCCTGAAGGGTCTTGAACTGTTTGAAGGAAGGCTGTAGTGGCATCGTCAAGCCACCCATGCCATGAGTGGCAGTTCATCAGTTCATCAAAGAGGACCTTGTTGGGGCCTGCAACCCAAAACACAACTCGACCTGAGTTCCTGAGTTTCGCGACAACTGCTTCAGATCTGTGGGTCTACATTCTACATGACCAAGTGCCACAACGCGGCATTTAGCTTTGACTTCAACTTGTCCACGTGACTTGTCTCTGTAGCGAGCTGTGGCGGGCAGAGCACGGCGCCGAAGGTGGGTGAGGACATACTCAGCCTCAGAGTCTGGAAGTGGTTCCACACTCTGCCAAGTTGACCATGAGTCTGCTTCCTTGTTGATAACAGCAAGGAACTTCTCTATGTATGCTGCTAGCACTTCGAAGATCCGTCCTTTGCTCCGACTCCGGCCATTCACGACCTTCAAAGCCTTGGTCATTCTTTTTGGCTCTTCTCCTTCTTCACCTCGAAGAGCGTGAGGAGTGATCATCAGGCCTCGAATGAGTGAGTGAGCTTCTTGGTGGGCCTAGTTAGTCTCATAGACCTCCTGACCGCCACACTCGTCGCATAGCCAGCGGTGGGCTGAGGTTGTTTGAGTCGCATGCCAGACATCGCTAGGTACACCTCTCAACATTGCGCTCGGGCTCATCCTGGGTCGTGGCAAAGTCACGCACGAAGGGATCGGGTGGATCCTGAGCGAAGTGGGCCCGAGAAAATGGCCTTGGCATCTCATCGAACTCATCCCGCAGGTCATACTCAGGGAGGTCGTCGGGCTCAATGTCAAAGTCATCATCGGCCGCCTCACGCAACGCAGCACGTGGCGCACTAGGCTCCGGTGCCAACTTAACACCACCGTGAAGCAGGCTCAACACGCAAACGAAAGTGAAGCGTCGGACCACGCTTTTCCATCTAAGGTGCACAAGCGGTGCAAAACAAGGAAAACATGGCTGAAGAGGTAATGGCCCTGAAAAATCACACTGTCAGTGGCGACAAACGGTGGCATCGTCATCCATGGTCTTTTCAAAAACGATGTTCCACTCCATTAGTCCATGTGCAACACTTCAACCCAAACGACCATCCCTTTCAAACACCGAACCCGCCGATGGAACCCGCCTCTTGGATCGAATCAACTCACCAAGGCTTACACCTACGTCGGGTAGCAGTCGCATCGGCCAGATCATTGACGCCGACAGTCTAATGAGTCGAATGTTTTGAAAAAGGCCTGACAAATGTAAATAGTCGCGCAGTAGGCTGACAACGTCATCTGGGTATCAGGTGTTCGTCTTCACCTGTTTTTAGATGTCCAGGCTGTGTGGCAAATGATCGAACGTTGTAAATACAGATCCTAGGTCCTCGAGCTACAAACATATGATTCTGATTCTAGTGGCTATCCCGGCGGCCCGGTCAACAACCTCGAACGAAGGTTCTCTTCACCCGTGTTTGCGGCAAGCCTGCGGCAAAAGGATCGCTCAGGAAGACATTGTCACTGTCCTGGGTTGCAGCGTCGCCCGGAAAACCCCAAGCATGTTGCAGATGGTCTGCTGCGTCAGCAAACTCCTCAACAACGAAAAACAAAGAATGAGTATATGGGACAAAATAGAAGGCTACAAGACAAGTAAGAATGCACTGCAGCCCCCAACACCCGGCGAAAATGAGTTACGCGCAGCCCACCCTTTGCAAAATATGACCCTGTAGCCGACTGGACATGGGAATCGCTCTGCCGCCACAACAAACGGGTATGGGTCATTCTTTGAAAAGAGTCTGGTCTCCGAATGTGTTTTTTTCGTGACGTATATATTTCCTGGTAAAGTCAAAGTTGGGTCCATCACTGGGATTTTTCCGGCATGCGTCCGTGAAGACCACGTCAAAGCCCTCTTTCATTACATCAAACCTCGAGGTCCGGGCTGCTCAAAATGCGCCAAACCACGTGTCCAAATGATTTTCCACTGCCCCAACAAACCACCGCGCGCAAAAATCATGATCGACCCTTCATGATGAGGCATCAAACGTTTGATTTGTCACACCAAACACAAATTTCGAAAGGCTCCAACTAGGCGTTTAATTGCTTTTAACACTTCCGACCACCGGCCTGGTGGAGGTTATCCTCGTATTTCCATCGTGCCAAGATTTGTCACTCTCATGTTGTCAGCCTTTGATTTTGATCGGAAGATAAACTTGAAAAGCGGATCGCAAACCAACCGGTTTGAACCAAACGTTTTTGGGAGGCCTCTGCTTTGCGAGAAGGTGATGAGTTACCCACTCTCGGAAAGGGGGGTTGACCTCATCGCAAAGCCTGCCTTCCCCCCTGACCAGTACCAGGGAACCGCTTCTGGAAGTCTAGCCTGTCTCAACTCTTTCAGCCCCTCCGACAGCCCAGGTTGGTGTGTCACAGCTCTGTCTGCGCTCCACGGATCAACATGTGGCGGGATCGCACCTGCATGGTTTGCGTCAGATTCTACCCGCTCGACGCTTTGTCCCAGAATACTAAGGTGGCCAGCACTCAGAAAGAGTGAAAGGCCCAACGATGCTGGGGAAGCCCTGCACCACAAGATCCAACAAGAAGGCATCAACGGAACTACAAGAGCGGAGCGTCTCATCGTAAAAGTGCAGTGGCAACGTTGAACCATTTGTGGTTGTCAGTAACCGGAAGGCTCAATCTGGAACGCGTCGAAAAACAGCATGCGCCTCAGGACGCACCACTGACACGGAATCCAGGACACTTGCCAGTCGCCGGATACAGTTCTCCACGGAACACTCCCCAAAGACGCATCGAGCTAAGCTAAACCAACTGTTAGCACCTAGCAAGTGAGTGAGTCATCACATTTCTCCTTGGCGCCGGCTGAAATCAACCAAGCAAAAGGTGAAATCCCTTCGGTCACATCAGGTGACTCGAAATATGCTAATCCGCATGGAGGGGCCCGGTGCGACTGGGTCACATCAGGTTCCTGCTTACGACGCGCTGACCGATTTTTACCGATCGCAAGAATGCTTGGGTTGCGCAGGCGAAAACAATCGTAAACGGATGGAATAGCCAGATCATGTGCACGCTGCATTTGCTCAAAAAGCTCTCAAACTGCGTCAAATAAAGAAACCGATGCAACTTCCCGAAGAGCTTTCAACGCAAGAAAACACAACATTTTGTACAAACTGATGCGACTCTAGTGTCTGAGAGTACCCATGGAGAAGTTGCCTCCCCGAGCAAAGACCGCCAGGCAAGCCTCCTTCGATCTCGGAAATCAAACTGCCTGAAAGACTAGACGCCGATCACCTGGGAAAAGCTGTCGAGCAAGAGGCTCATCGTGCGAACGCAATGGTGGTGGGCTGCCATCCAACTTCCGAGCAGCAGATCATGTGTTGCAGCGGGCACCGCGGTGCGGAGAACAAAATGCGCCAGCAGTGATTAGTGTTGAGACTTGTGAGCACGCTGTCCGCTGTCATACCAATAGATGGTGGCAAAACCGCAATCTGAATACCGACCACGCATGGCTTGAGTCAGTGTAACTGTTCCCCGAGCACTGTAACGCAAAGAAGGGACGCATCGCTGCGCTTGGACAAGCGCATCCAGAAATTGGATCTTACGAGGTCCAAACACTGTCAGGCACTGTCCTTCAGGCACTGTCAGCTCTAGTTGAAGAACTTTACCTTCGCGCTCTACCGATCTGCTCTACCGATCTGAGCCACGAGTACCCACACTCCCAAAGGTTCCATGTGGATCCATCAGTTGTAGGAGATGATGGATCCACATGCTGGGCCTGCCCTTGGTGATCAGCTTTCGCCCAAATGGCGTACCAGCGGCGCATAATCAACAACAGCTATTCTTCGATGGTTGATTTGTTGATGATCTGTATATCCTTCTTGAAAATCAAACATGAAGTGAAGCTAGCAAACCTACCATACTTTTGGAGACATCCCTACCGTACCTACCCATAGCGTGGAACAGGGCATGAATGCCTTAAGCTAAACGGGCAAAAGGTCGGTCGACTGGAAACCTGCCAGCAGCTGCCAGCAAAATACTTCGCCGAAAATGCAACTCCTCAGCACTCATCCACTCCCCTGCGCTGCCAGGTCACACGGAGGCCAAGGTATTCATCGACATGAGGTTGAAGCCCTTGCTGAGGTACTCCTTGCTGTGAAACATGATGAGACAACTGGAACAGGTGGCGGCAGACGTGGCCCAATTACATGTTTCGGCCACCACGAACCGATCTAAGAAGCATGGAGGGAAATCGAAAAAGTCTGAGCACTTGTTAGAGCCACAGCTTCAAGTGGCTTCGCCGCAGTCTGCCCCGTGGCCAGAAGTGCTTGCGTCTTGTCCAGTTGCTCGAAGGCCTCCAGCTGTGAAACCCGGGGGGCTGGTGAGACCTGATGAGCTGTTTCTTGGTTGTGTTTTCAAGCGGTGGGTTTAAATGAGGTATGATGAGGCCTGGTCGACCAAGCCCCACTGGGAGGCCTTCCAGTCGACGAAGCGTCGACCATTCCAGTCGTAGACGATCCATGACAAGTCTCGAGAGGGATCGAAGGGCTCGAGAGTCGACACGACTAACTCAAGAATGGATAGCTGAATAATAATGCTGAACACCTGTTTCATCGCCCAGCTTTGCTTCCAACTCCTGGCGCTGCACTGCCCAGGTTTAGCCACCTTAACTTGGCCGACCCGCGTTACAGTCGGGTCGATCGCGCCTCCTGGTCCAGCGCCAAAGTCACCCAATCCAAGCCCAAGCGCCGCGCGTGGCACTCCTGAGAGCGGGCGCAAGGCGGAGAACAGGTGCACCGCGACAAAGCCCACAAGCAGCGCACGTAGGCTACGATACGATCGTGCCATGGACCCTGGCCACGGAGTCTCTAACCGGTCGGAGCCACGACCTGGTCCCGAGTCTCCCAAGAGTGCTCGGTTCGGATCGATGCAACATGTTCGGGTGGGGTGAAGGAAGAAGTATCAAGAAGTGATGCTCCAACATGTTCCAACTTACACTTCGAAACGCAGAAAGTTCTGCGTTTCGAAGCTTGGGCGCCCCAGGGGTCGGCTTGAAAAAGCCCACAGGACTCTATGCGCGTGGCTTCGCGCCAAGGCCGGCGGAAAACGCGGAGGCCAGGCCACACCAAGGGAGGCCAAGACCCATGAGAAGGGCCATGAAAGTGCAGTGCAACTTCCCACTCAACCTTTCACTTCAGTTGAGTCTCCCAGTTCAGCAGAAAGTCCATGTAAGCAGCATTGGCCACGGTCAAGAGCACCACATCCTGCATCAAAAATGGGCGTCGCTGCTTCGAAGTAAAAACCTTGAGAGGGACGTTTTTACGTCTTGCTATATAGTCGATATTTTTCTCGGAATTTCTTCACCTTTGGATGGCGGCACCTGGTTGGTTTCCGGAAAATGTGAACTTCGAAGAAACCCATGCCATCCTTGTCACCATGATCATTTCATATGAGTGTAGATGGAATGCCAGGTGATGCTTGCCTTTGGTCCCACTGTCCGCGCGAGGAAGAAAGTTGAACATTGTAACATGCGCACAACTCACCCGTTCGTCTATCTGCGAATGTCATCGATCTTGCAGAACTTCAGTCCATGCACATCTAAACCAACCCAAGGCGCTCGAAACTGTGGGACCCGGGATTTGTCGGCGTAGAGCCCTGCGCGGCGCCGCAGCACCTCTTGTGCCGAAGGCCGCGCTGGCACTTCCGGCAGCGCTGGGCCTCCAAAAGACTAGGCGTCGGGCGCAGTGATTTACCAAGATTTTCCACATCACAGTGAGCCACTACTGCTCAGCCAGCATGCTTAGGTGTGCTTGTGTGAGATTGAGCCTTGTGTACTGCAAAAAAGGCACCTGGAAAATGGTTTGGTTTGGACCTCCACACACTCTTCCACAATTGTTGTAACAAGGTCGTGTTTCTATAATGTTTATTCATTTTCTCTGTTTGTCTTTGTCTCCCTGGGAAGACACCCAACTGATTTTCACACCCACGCCACCTGGCACCGAAGTGGCCGCGCTGCCAACGGCCGAAGTTCCCTCGGCAACGGCAGCCAGGTCTGGCGGCCCTGGATCACAGGAATCGGCGCTTTCCTCCGTGAAGGAGATGCTAGCATGCATTGGCATGCGCTAACATGGGCATGTGGGTATTTCTCAAACTCCCCATTTGCGGAGTCTTGCTCCATTTGAAGCCATTGTGATGCTGGTGAGCTCAGCCTCTCAACCTGATCAACATGGGCCTCTGGTTCATTCCGGGAAGCTGGTGTCTCGAAGCATCGACTCCAGCTGTTCCCTTCTGTTCTGGCTTCGGCATCACACAACAACACAACATAGTCTGGTGGTTCCCATGTTACCCTCCCGCAACTGGGTGAAGGATCGAAAAAATTGATAATGATATAAGGATCAAACAATAAAATGTTTTAAGAGATCAAAAAAACATTTATCACTTGCAGCGTCAGGCGTAATGCTTTGTGGACCTAGCAGAGCAGATTTCGTGGGTGTAGCAGGTTGCAAAGGTGGAAGTGCAGAAGTTGTTGGTAAACGCAATGCTTTGCGCACGTCTAAGTGCAGATTTCGTGGCAGGTGCAGCACTTTGTGAACCTTGAAATGCAGATTTCATGGCAGAGGCAGCATATTGAGAATGACGACATGTAGATTTCGTGGGCTTCGCTTGGGGCTTCGCTTCTTTAGAGTACTTGGCTGGGAGCTTTCTTGGGGGATTAAAGAAGCGGGAGGGGCTTCGGGGGAGGGCGCAGCGCCTCCCCCGCAATGCAAACAAAGTATAGGACGTTGCAATGGCTTCTTTCTACTCTAAATTATATACTCGGGTGGCCCACAAAAGGGATGCTACGTTGTAATGGGTCCTTCCTACTCTGAATTTTACCCTCGGGTGGCCCACAAAAGGAATGCTACGTTGTAATGGCTCCTTCCCACTCTAAATTTTACCCTCGCGCCACAAAAGGGATGCTACGTTGTAATGGCTCCTTCCTACTCTAAATTTAACCCTCGTGTGGCCCACAAAAGGGACGCAGCCTCGGACTGGCATCTTCCTACTACAACAGGGATGCTGCGTTGCAATGGCTTCTTTCTACTCTAAATTTTACTCTCGGGTTGCCCACAAAAGGGATGCTGCATTGCAATGGCTTCTTCCTACTCTAAATTTTACCCTCGGGTGGCCCACAAAAGGATGCTACGTTGTAATGGCCCCTTCCCATTCTAAATTTTACTTTTGTGTGGCCACAAAGGGTGAGCGAGTGAGCGAGGGAGTGAGCGAGGGAGTGAGTGAGTGAGTGAGTGAGTCAATGACAAGGTCCGTTTGCAAAAACGACGCACATTTCGCGTGCACGGACGATGCCCTGCCCACCAAGGGACCAGAGGATCAGGGGACCAAGGGACCAGGGGACCAAGGGACCAGGACCAGGGGACCAAAGGACCAGAGGACTAGGTCACCAAACAATTTTTTGCTGATGCTTATTATTTGTTTTATTGATGCTTATCATGTTTTTTCTTGATGCTAATTCTTTTTATTGTTGATACCTCTCCCCCCGCAACTAACATGGAACCTGAGAATTGACTGGTGGTTTCAACGGCCAACAAACGCAAGTCTTGCGACGCATCAAAACCCGATGGCCTCCTGGACCGATCCATGTGGCGCGCAGAAGGCCCAGAGCCACCAAGAAGGAGAGGCCACAGCTCAACCGCTTCCAGCTTTGCATGCCATCAGGTGAAACCAAGTAGAGGGCCAAGAAACCTTTGGTCGGGACTCTTTCTGGAAACGTAAACTTTATACAGTAGTGGATTACTCTCGTGATGGCTTCAAAGCACTGGTACACAGTGGTACACATTCAACAACCTGAATGATTCAACAGAAACAAATCAAGGAGCATCACGAAAAAAAAAGAACACTTCCTTGAAGTCCTAAGCATCTTGCGGAACCCGGCATCCAAGCGAAACCATTAGTGGTCACGTCTTTCACTTGCGATAGCTATTCTGAAGCGGAAAAATGTGTTTATATACTCTATGACCCGATATGTGTGCACATATATATATATATATACTTATATGTACGGTATACATATGTTTATATCATCCATTCCCTCATGAATTCAACCCAGCTCCTATCAGCTTTGACCCAGTCCCACCAGCGACTCATGGCGGTCGATGTTTTGGGACGAAATCCAGCGAAGCGAGATGGAGATCCCATGGATTGAGTCTTTTTGGACGCCTTTTGGGGGATCCAAAATCGTTTCCGTCAAAACAGTGACGGAAAAGCTTCCTTGAAAGAAGGCCCATTGCTCCAGAAATGGATCTTCATCCATGGCGTCCTAGCTTCATGCCATTTCATGCGACCTCTCGAGCTTCCCTGACCGACTCTGCTTTCTTTGGTAGCATCGGAAGACGGCCTCCACCTAGTAGCTTCTAGCTACGGACGTAGCTTCTTGTTCCTAGTAGCGATGGCCTCCAACCTAGCTTTTTGTTCCCTCCAGGCCCTGCCGATCCGTGACTCCGTTTTGTCGGCAGACGCCAAGTATTCCTGGTCCTGGAAAAGACGCACGGCAGCACGGCACCGCGTCACTCAATTGGGGACGGGTCGTGAAAAACACTTTGGAGCCCGAGCAGTCCATCGTGTAGCGAACGAGCAACACCAGGTAGGTCAAGCAAGGTCTCGTGGTTCTGACCCACAGCCAATGTTTTCTTCTTGCTGGGGTTTCTGGATGAGTTGTCCATGTTCTTGGGGTAAATGGGTTTTCTACTGGAGCCCGGGTGCCACGGGTCACCATGGAGTAGTCAAGTCATGTCAAGTAGCCTGGGTGTGCCACTTCCAGTTCTTGGGCCATTCAACTTGGAAGGTTCCCTCATCCAACGTCAAAACATCTGAGTCCACTGAATCGCATTCGCAGGACGGTGCAGGATCCGAACCGCAGCTCCGGAGTTGACCGAAGCCAGGGTAGGTGTCTCCCGAAGCAGGTGTGGTCTATTCTGCTCATTCTTGGGGTAATCAACCAGGGTGTGCCCGTGGCAGAGACAAAATCAGCCAAATGTCTTAGTCGAAACACTCGAAACACGGCACCTGCCAGTGTTGCAGCTCCAAGAGCTCGGGGTAGAGCTCGGCCACCCGCAGGCGCTGCTCCTTCACCGGGCACCTGCGCGGCAGAAATCTGCTCCTGACTACGCCAGTTTGGGACAGGAGTCCGTTTGGAAATCGGTTTGGTCCCAAAATCATGGAACAAAGCGAATGCTTAGTTGCAAATGGTTTCGTATGACCCCCAGAAATGTTAGAAATCATGAATTCATGGTTGACCTTCACAACTCCTGCAAAAATGTGATATCTCGCCACACGCATCGCGGGGCGGGTCGACCAGATTTCGCCACACACAGGTCGAGTTCATCTCAGATCGAAGCCCGGTCGACATCGAAACACACACAGCTCGTGCGTCGATGTCGATAAGGCGACCAGGCGACCGGCGACCCGAGGCACCCCTCTTTGCACTGGGTGTACTTCTGGCAGTGGGACTTTGCCACTGAGGCCTGGCAAAGTAATAGAGTGGTGAGATTGCCGACACGCAGTTTTCTTCTTGGTGTGTTCATCAGGTGTGTTTGATTTGTCAACTTGTGTGGTCAAAGCCCGGATTGTTGTGTTCGCAGGTACATCAAGTGTCTCATCTTAGTGACTCGTCACGCGCAGCAAAGCGACTTGTCTTACAGATTTCCTTCTGTTGCAAAATCTCTGGAGCTGTATCTTAAGACCCCAGAACTCCTTTGGAATGGATGTTGTGAAAAGATTGAACAATAAGAACATGTAAGAACCAAATGAAGAAACCGCCAAGGCAACCCTCCAAGCCAAAAATCAAACGACAAACCCGACATGTAGGCAATTGCACCTTGTGACTTAAGTCAATCTAGTGTGGTCAGAAGTTCTGTTTGCCAACAGTCCCAGGCCTCATTGTATGAGGTATTTGTCCAAATGTCATAGAACCTCAACGGTTGTTCTGTGGAACATGGCTGGGATCATCAAAAATATCGTCGAAGCAGCTCATCGAAACACACAAGAAGCAATTGACCTTGGGGGGGATTGTTGAAAACGCCCAAACAAAACATCCCGGCGGCTCTCTTTCCGCGCACGTAGTTGTGCAAATTTCAAGATCCAGGATATTGGGTTGCATGCAAAAAAGGGTTTTCGCCTAGGCGAAATCACGATCTTTTTTGGTGGTCTGATCAAGAATCATCTGAAAAACACTGTCAATAATGGTGACCATTTTTGACATGGATTTGCGAAAGCACAGGGTTTCGGACCAATTTTTTGCGCGCGACCTCTTGCGTCACCGTTGGTTCAACTGCGTGCCCAACTTAAAAGCCAGATTGCTGTTACCGCAGTTCCAACGCCATTGCCATTGACGCACACAGCGCATGGTGGCTGCGGTCTTCTTACTGGACAAAGCATGGGGCACACTTTCCTTCATGAGACGCCACAGGCCGTCAATGCTGCCTGTGTGAATATCAATCGTCTTCCCTCCGAGACGACGACGAATATTAAAAATTCCCTTCGAGTGGTTGCAGGACAAGTGCTTGACTTTATAGTCTTTGCAAATCTTGGGGTAGACCGGTGCTCCATCTGTAAGCATGACACATCTGGGAGTCAACTGATCAAATGCTTTGCACTGATCCAAACGGTGACGGCTTTCTGGAGGTGGCTTACCACCTTTCAAAGCCTTGTTGCAGCCCAAGGGGTACAAGCAGATTCTGCCACGCTGTCCGCTGGATGGTCTCTCATACAAACCGAAGACTTGGGAGTAAACCATCGAGCCACCATCTAGACCAACAAAGACCAAGCGTAGCGTAAGTGTAGAAAGTGCATTGACAAGA